TGTGATCTTCACTTCATCCTGTACACCTGCAAAACCAAAAGGCATAGATGTCAACAAATATCAAACAGTGTATGAATGTCGTGAAGGTCAAATATAGTATATGTGAGTGTGATCCGGTCCAAATGCTTACGTAGTGGGAAGGCTGTGGTCCCCATTGTTTGAGTGTTGAGAGAAACTCCATATGGTGGAACACTCTGGTTCAAATACAGCAATGAATTCACAGCAAACACCACCACACCACCTACAAAGATTTCATATGTGATCAGAATCCTCAGCAGCTCCAACAATACACACATTAACAACACAACACACTTCCTCATATAGTGTCAATTTATATCTGATACAGTCTAATGGAAATTATCTTTACGGGAACTAAGTGGGAACTTTGAATTCCCTCCACTCACCGATGGGTTTAGGAACAGCCATAACTTGTGTACAGTCAAAAGGCAGATTACTGAGCGACCAAATGACAGGATGGACCTTTTGCATGATGTTGAGGGAGATGGCGACGATGCTGCAAGTGTCCTGACGCACGGCAACACGTCTGGCAAAGTGACACACACACACAGAAGTTAAACGCTGAGCTCTTGTTAGCAGCTCAGAATATCAAATAAAAACAAAACGTTTTGCATCATTTCTGATGGTGTGTTGGACTGACCCAGGCCATGTCTGGTTGGGCTCAAACAGGGTGAGCAGCGTAGGCTCATAGTAGCCATGCAGAAACTTCATGTCAATAATGTTTAGCAGCTTCTCGTCCAGCTCACGGACATCAATAATGTAGCTGGGTAGGAAGCTGGATTTAGGTCTGCAGGTGAGATAGAGAAAGTGTTGTATTCAGCATGGCCAGACAACTTTATTGCAGGATTAAAAGAAGAAAAGGTTTGTTTTAAAGGCATAGATGCCCATCAGATAGTTAAAAACAACAATAACCAGAAGGTATAGGAGAGTGCAGGCGTACCCTTCTCCAACTCCACCCTCCTGCTCATCAGTTAGAGTGTCCTTTCTGAATGGCAACACCACCAGTTGGGTGCCATACACAAGCATGACAGCACAGCGATTCTCTGGATCTACGCGAACAATGGGAATGTGTACATTTTGTACAAAACCATCCTGAAAATTGAACAAGAGACCAAATAAGTCATAAATAAATCCCTTTCTGCATATAAACATTCAGCTCAACTCAGAAAGATCCATCAAATGTTAACTATGTTCTACATACTCTGAGTTCTGGTTCCTCAAAGTAATGAAGAGACAGCGTCTTGAGGTCATGTGTCCCCGGGTCATACTCCACGACAGACAACTGGTGAAACAAAAAACACATCCCGAAGTCAGATAAGAACTATTTTAGCAATTTTGATCTTCAGTCAGTGGACAGCTCAGACGGCCATACCTTGGCATCTTTGAAACTGAGGAGGAGTGCATCTCTGCTGGAGCCTACAAGCTGCACACTGGCCATGGACATAACATTTCCAAAGAGAGAAAAGGACGCCACCTGCTCCAGCTTCTCCTTACGAGATTTAGAATCTGTAGGAGGACAGATTTAAGCTGGACTGCAAAAACACTCATGCGAGTTTATGTAAAATATTAGGAGTTAATTCTGCTTGCTTTGAGCTTGATGCCCAGACTTACCTGCAGATTTGTCAGACTTTGATGTACTCTGAAATGATAACATGACATTCAACACATGAAACAATTTCCACTTATTTCAAAACTTAAATAGAGAAACAAACCAAGAGGAAACACATTTACCTCAACATCGTGGATGATCCTGTAAACGAAGAGTTGAGATGTTCCAGCCACGACCAAGTTCTTCTCCTTACTGGATATAAAGTTGCAGTAGACAGAAAACTCCACTGCAGTGGGGGTGTGGGCTTGTCTGTAGACAGCATACATCCTGGACGATTGCTCTCAGCCTCTGACGTGGAGAATATTCAAGTCAAGACCTCAACACTTTGCCACTGTTCAGTATAAACACTTATGATGAACCAAATATGTATTCTCTTCTCCATGTCTTTAATTTATAATCAATGCATTTGTTATTCTATCTTTTTATCTGTTGTGTTGGTTATGTTAGTCATGGATGTACAGCACTTTCAGCAGGACTGAACTGGCTCATACACCTCAGGGGTTGATAAGGTCCCGTGCTGGTGTATCAGATTGATTGTTTGGATCACTGCTTCAGTTTTTCCATTTGTTTGTTGTTCTTTTGTTAGTTTTGTGTTGTCCCTACTACACTATCTTCCCTTTTTGTTTGCTTACTTTGTGCTACAACAATTGCATGTTCTTTAATCCTTGTCCATTGCTTTAACAGGACATTACCATCTTGCCTACACAATTACAGCAGTTTGCATCAACTCTTGTTTTTAAATGTTCTTCATGAACAACATTTCACGTCACTTGTATCGTGTGAGTCGTTGGTGGTAGCTGGCAAGTAATGTGAAACCATGCTGGAATGAAATCAAGTCCATTGGTGAATCGTGAGCTGAATGAAATACAAGTTCATGAGTCAAACACTCATGAAAGGTTTAGATTCTGTTATATGGCCGTGCTTTAACATCATCAATCCAGTAAACATCTTAATGTCTACTGCTCTCAGACTGCATAAACTGATGAACACAATTATACTTCATTACACACTACATTATAGCAGAGGTTCACAGTGGGAGGCGGGTCTCCTTCAGGAGGGATCAGTGAATAATGGGGAAAAGTTTTACATTAGTTCTTGCATTTCATAGAGAGAGCACATTATTCCTCGCTTAAACAGTCAGAAACTAATAAACGCACGTGAGCATGTATTTTAAAGTTCCCGGTGCTGTAAACTAAACACACGCTTTGAAAGCTCCTCTATCATCCGATTCTTACCTGTGACTATTTGAGAATGGAACTGTTGCCCCCGTGATACATAGACGCCAGCTAGCTAATAATGTTCTAAATGTAGAGTTGAGGTTAGCCTGCTTAATAAGAGTATTATCTCACATTGTGATAGATAGATTAATTTAATGGGACATGCAACCAGCAACAAAGAAATGTTGTCATGACCAATGTGTGCCTGCAACACAGCTAACGGTTAGCATCGGATAACGAATGTATGGATACGCCGGGTAACATTAGCGATGTTAGCAAAGTGCTACTGTAGCTAGCAACACGCCTGTGCCCGGGGTTTTTTAAATTTATTTGCAAAACATGAATTAAACTTGTGAACGTACCTATATCAAACACGTTATCAGAGTCTGCAGCTTTATTGTTCCTTCCTCTGTTCACATTTAGGGTATCATACTTTGATGTAGCCTGCTAAGTTAGCAGTTAGCTGTCGTGCAGTGTTGTGGCTACGCGAGGGTGCTGCTTCTTCTTCTTTGGCTTTTCCATTTCCGGTATATTAGCTGCTCCGAGACGCGCTGCTGCCGCCACAGTTCGAAATTAATTTTTTTAAGAAATGTGGAAGTTATTGCCACACCTTGTTAAGCCCTATGAGACTGAATGAGATTTGTAAATATGGGCTGTACAAATATTTGATTGACTGATTATTTTTTCTTATATTAAAAACAATGTTGTGCATAAATTACTCAGTTTAAGAATAATCCAAGCTATTAATTCAAAGTACAAAGGTGCCAGACAGGTTGGTAGTTATGATTACACCAGAGGTTCTCTTTTTGTTTCTCAGCCAAGGACCACTCCACAACATATTCCTGGGACCCCATTATGAATAATTATAAAATTATCATAATATCGTTTTTTACCCTTCCACTTAGTTATAAGAAAGAATGCAACAATAGAAGTGTCTTAGAAAGATCTAAGACCTAGGAATCTTCACAATGTCAGCAAAGATTACCCATTTATCATGCTCATTTCAATTGGTGAATCTGGAAACTTTTCTGGCAGTGTGCCACAGACCCCCAAACCACTGGACTAGTTACTTCTTTCTTTACTGTGATTAATACTTTTTCCCAAGAAACTCCAAAATAGACGATGCACCTTGAGTGGAATTTCATATCACACCAGTGTTTGATTCCACAGACCACTTCCATGAAACTCTTCATGGTGTCTAATTGTACGAGGTAAAGTAAAGTGGAGGGGAACAGTAATGTGAGAATAAAGCATCATATCATTGTGCAAATCACAGAAAAGCTTAACTTAAATGATTTTGTTGTCTTAAAATAACAATTCAAATTTCTTACACAGTGCACAGCAGGCATGAGACATAAAATCTACAGCACGAAACTTTAATATTTAATCCTAGGGAAATTTAGGATGACTTTACAACGATTACCTTGGATTACATTGTTAAAAAAACCAAATTTCCCCTTTTGTTACCATCGTGAACATTTCATGTTCATGTTAGAGCCATAGATTTTCATCTGTAGTAGTTAACTACCACAAGTAGTTACTGTAACTATGTTTAGAAGCTATTCTCAAAGTTTATTGAACTATTCTCATGGTCAGAGGAGGAAACTGCAGAACTTGGACGCTGGCTACTGCAACTGAATCTTGAAGAATAAACAACAACAAAGAATCAGATTCAGGACATCACAAACTAATCGGTCAAATAAATTCCCATTAATCTCGTAGACAGAGTTAGACAGCAGCGTTTCCAAATCAAAACTGTCAGTTATATTCGCATGAATACAATAATCTGTATTAAGGAAAAAAACAGAAACAACAGATTATTTATGGTTGATTTTAAAAGCACATATACAAAATATAATAGATGTTTCCAGGTTTAAGCAAAGTCGGTACATGTTGAAGTGTGTGATCACTGACTACAGGTACAAAATTGACAGTTAAAGTCAGATATATTTTAAAGGTTCAGTATGTACAATTTAGTGACATCTACTGGTAGCCTTCAGTTGTCATAAAAACTCAAAATGTGTTTAGTGTGGACCACTGTGAAAAACATGGCGACCTCCATAGAGAGGACACACTCCCGAAAGTAAATTAAAAGAATTTAAATATAAAGGGCTGATTCATGGTTAAAGAAAAGAACACACTGGTGAAAACATTGCTCGGATTATGTTATATTGAATTTTTGCCTATAGATCACTTTCACCTAAATCTTAAACACTGAACATTTAAGACCTTGCTCCTTAATGTGAAGGAACACAATGTTTTAAGTTGTTTATTTAAAATGTTATATGTTGCACAGTTTGTGTTTCTCCTGACAAACCTGACAGAACTGAAAATAGAATTTGCGAACAATCAGCATAGTGATTCAAAAATAATCAAAAAATAAACTGTACACTATAGTACATGAGCCCTTTACGAAGCCTTCACACTTTTTAAATCAAGGCAAGACATGAAAATAAAAACAAAAAGCAGTCCCTTCTCCAAATCTTTTGCCTGTTATCTAACAGCTGGTGCGTTCCGTTAGCGGTGGATTCTCTGGCACGTAATGAGGTATTCTGGAAAAGCCTGCGTATCGTTGAAGATGACAAACATCGTCGGCTTGGTGATGTCGTCGGTGACGCTGTCGTATCTGAGGGGAATATCGTCGCTCTCCTTCAACGGGGCGGTCTTCATTGAATGGCAACCTTTAGTGAAGTCTCCAGTTAGAACCTTCGACACGAAAATAAACTTGTGTCCGTCTGCGTTTGGGGGTGAATACTGATCCTGAACCGACAGGGCAGAGTTGACAGCAAAATAGACCCCCTGGCCGTAGACTGTGGCTGTGAGAAGAAACCAGGATGTCAGAGATTGATAACATACATACATGAGACAAACTGTGTCAGAAAGCGGAACAGAGTTATTAAAAAAATTAAAAGTACCATTCTTTCCACAGAAGCTTCTGTTGAATCCATGAACACATATCTCCTTCACGCTCTTCTCATTTGTGCCGTGGTAAAGAGTCCGTTCTACTTCTGGGTAAGTGGCACGCTGCACTATGCTCGCCTTCTTTAACTTGAACTGATTGTACAGCAGTCGATTCATGAGCTTTTCCACCTGCAGAGGAAAAGAACATCCATGTTATTAGTGACACACCTCATCATTTGTTTCTTTTTCTTTTTCTTACCTGTATGATTCTGATCTTGCTATGGTATTCCTGGATGGTCTCATAGAAATTCTTCACCACATTCTGAAATTCATCCGAATCCTCACTGACTTTGGTGGCTTCAGGCATGTTTGACAGCAGGGAGTATTCCTCTTCTGTAACAAAGATTCCATGTTTAAATAGATTTTGTTTCTCCCCCCCCCTTACATCATTTATAGGTAGAGACAAGATTATCAGACAGATTGTATGTTAGTATGTCAATGAACAGTACTGCTATTTAGATAAGTAATAATCATAACTACACTGTAAATTAAAACATAGCTGAATTCAAGCTAAAGCAATGAAATTACCTTATATAGGCGAACAAAAGGTTATGTTGTAATTTAAACTTTTCAATTCAATTCAAGAACTTTATCATCAGTTTTAACCAAAAAGTAAAACTGTTCAGTGTAGAATGAAATTGTGTTTCTCCAGAGCAGTGCAATTTAAATAGCGTCTTAAAAACAACGTGTCCCGGTTGTTGTTAGTTGTTCAGCAGAGCTGCTACTGCCAGCGCTATGTTTGTACATAGGGTTTAACTTGAAAATGGCCATAAATGTGTGTGTGTGAGAGACAGAGACAGACAGACCAAGAGAGAGAGACGGAGAGAGACTATTGCCCATCACCAAGTTTGTTTACTACAGCCTTTCTGATGATAAATACTAGTATTTCCTAGTATAAAAGTAGTCCTGTGTACTCAAATAAATACCAGTACTATACAGTATGAAGCTGAAGGTAGAAGCATGGTATCACTATTTGCTAGCTAATATTTAGTCAGTTGCGGGGCACCATTTAGAGAAGCATCATTCTGCAGAATACTGAAAGCACGAGACAACTTAAGTTCCATTTACCTGGTATTTCCTCTTGCAAATCCCCCAAATCGAGAAGTTTCCTGGAGATTTTAGCAGTTTTCTCCGAAGCTACGTTGCATTCCGTCATCTTTTCAAAGTTGATAACGTGGGGCTGATTGTCCAGTAAGATGTCAAGCTTCTTCAGCTTCATCCTCCAGGCGTTCTCGATGAATACTATGGCATCAGGTGAGTATGGAGTTGTGTCTGAGGAGGCTTGATCATGTACCACCCACTGCACAGTCCTCAGGATTTCCTGCCTGGATACAGAATTCTCGAGTTTTTCCAGCAGCAGCTTCACATCCCACACTGCACCCGGGTGAAAGTGCTTGAATCCAGAAACGGTGATTATGGTCCCCTGAACTTGAATATCGACTGAATGCTTCCTCTGGATCATCTCCAAACACTTCATGTGGTACTCAGACATTTTCCTCACACTCTTGTGCTCAATTTTCTCCTCCAACTGCTTCTGAGAGACCTTCTTCCCAAAGGCGATTTCCACTCGAGTCAGATCAGACATATAACCTGCAAAAACAACTAACTGGATGGTGTTGGCTGCCTTGATGGTTTCCTGTAAAGAAACATTGATGTCCTTCTTCTGCTTATTCACTCTGGGTCGGGGGCTCTTATCAGCAGCACTCGAAAACGCTTCATGGTCGATCATGTTCCTGGACAGCTCCAAGGCTTTTTGCAGCTGTTCCTCCTCATCCTCCAGGGACCACTGACTTGACTCCATTGAGTACTGGATAGCTAAGGACAGCTGGGCTTCCTCTTTCAGATTACGATAATGACCCTGGGCACTCGCAGAGTTCCCTTCTGCTGAGGACTGGGAACCATCCAAGGCCATCACATCAGAGTTCTGGTCTACCAGGCTAATCGGCTCCTCTGCTGTGTACAGGTCTACGTTATCCATGTCATCGGCTTGGTCTGAAGTGTACAAATTCTCTTCAACTCTTCCATCAATGGCAGAGACGATTTTCTTTGCCTCCTCTAAAAGGCCTACAAAGAAGCAACCAGATTGCTTGAAACTGCACAGGAATATGAGAAGTTATACAATAAAAGATAAACGTTACCTTTGTCTATAGCTTCATTTTCATCAGTTTGCATTGAATCTGCTGGTAACTCCTTTGCAGGAACATCCACAGACAGTCTCTGAAAGTTTCTGTGCGACAACATCTGCCAAGCAGCTTCAAAAAAGCTCTGGAATAA